ACAAATAATGTTGTGGTGCAGTATGAGTGGTTTAGAATATAAGAGATGAAATTTCCAAATTTCAGGAATGTTCGAACATTTGTCTCAAGGGGGAAGAAACGTAGAAGTTGAGGAAATCGGTTCACGAGGAATATTTCTCATTAGACAGTGTTTAATATTTCGCAGTAAATCTGCATGTGCGACTTGCCATAATCTGTCTATAAAAGCCGGTGTATTCATATAACTCCGCAGTCGATTGTAATATCATCGTGAGTCGACGCTCTCTTTCCTGTGGCGCTAAGTAGAGTATGTAGGGGCTGTACTATCATTCTGATGTTTATCTGGTGTGTGTTTTATTTAGGGTGCGGCTTATAGTGTGTAATGTAAGAAAATTGTGTTGTTGAAATCTTCCCTTTACACTTGTTGATGTTAATAAAATATAATGAAGTTTATATTTCCATATCCATGCAGTTTTGCCATATAACTCGCGTTTCCAATTTGCAAGACACTAATGGAAACCACGATCAACGAACCTGGGTTGATGGGTACATAGAGGGAACTCTCACGCTTGTATCATACATAGAAGTTAGTTGTTTACATTCCAGATACAATTAACGGAAAACATGGGCACTACACGAGATGATAGATTAAGGCCTATTACAATAACAATTGAATTTACCGTCATTAATAAAAGGGTCTATAACATCTTGTTCCATTGGTGGATGTAAAAATCAAGTTGACCTGTTTCTGTGCAACACGCTGGCGCCCGCCCACTCGCTCGCTTCATTAGCAAGAAACATCAGGATATATACGGAAATTTCTGGTTAGCATTATTATATCAGAACTATTACATATATAAGTTCATGGAAGAGTGTAGATGCATATTTAAGGTATTGTCACGGACAACGATTTGTTGAATACGGCAGCGTTAACTCGCACCGAGAGGGGGACCGTGCTGATAGCCGACAGACTGACACCACAGAGTTTAGTCAGGGAGTTTGACCTTCTACACCGGAAAGACCCTTTGTGTAAATAATCAATTATGATATTTAGGATGGTTGAAATCTGCTTTATTTTGTTGTGTTGTTCATTTTTTTGTGTGTGTTTAGTGTAATGATTGTATGTCGAGATATTCAAATGTGTATATAATCAAGAAAAGTTTATATTTCGAAAAAGTAGTTATTTTAGGAGAAATCCAGGGCTGTGGAGAATACTGGTGATAAGAAAGATTTTTTCATTAAAAGTTAAGAAAAGCTAAATTCATTTCATTGTTTCTTTTATTCTTCTCTCTTTGTGTAAATCCAGGTAGGGTTAAAGTGATTTCAGTTTTAGGGGGGAGGAGGAGGTATTAAAGTCACCGTCAATAATTGCACCAGTTGCACCATGAACAGTTTCTGTTTTCTTTGTTTTCAGGTAAAAAAAAGCACAAACAAACAAAAAAGAAAAGATGAGTGCAAGTGGAGACTCTGAACTGCTCAGGTTTGTCGTTGACATAAAGGATATAGAGGAGGTCCAACAACATGAAAGGAGGCTTGATGCCCCAAAAAGGATATGGCATGCCCGGTGGACGGGTGCGGGGATCAGAGCTTTAGGAGGCTTGGTGGCCCCAGGAAAATATGACTTGCCTGATGGACGGGTGAGGGTAGCAGAGCTTTAGGAGACATGGTGGTCCCAAGAGGATATGGCATGGCCGGTGAACGGGTATGGGGAGCAGATCTTTAGAAGTTTTAGTGGCCCAAAAGGGTATGACTTGCCTGGTGGACAGGTGCAGGGAGCAGAGCTTTAGGAGGCTTGATGATCCCAAGAGGATATGGAATGCCCAGTGAACGGGAGCGGGAAGCAGAGCGTTAGGGGGTTTGGTGCCTACCTGAACCATTGACCATTCGCCTTCGGTTAGGCTACACTAGTGCGGTATGAGGAGCCGTGGACGCCCCCGTGCAAAGAGGCTCTCACGCCAGCACCCTGAAGGGGATGGAGAGTTGACCATGGTTTCGGTGTTGAATAGGGACTACACACCCCCGGGAGATGTCCTTCTTCCTGCCCGGCTTGGGAATGTGATAGATGCACTGAACGTTTTACTCCGAAGAAAGTTAGTAACAGGAGAATTATAAATGAAAGCCTTTTTTCTCTGTTCTGTTTTGATACTGTGTTAAACTTTGTTGTGTTTAGTTACTTTGTTTACTTTTTATTTTATTTCACTTCAGTTACTGGGTTTTTTTCAGATATCGTGTTCTGTGACCAATGACATTTCAGTAATCAGTTCAAATCAATTTCTTTGTGATCGATCTGGCAGTTCGAGATCTGACAGCCGACGGTTAGTACCTGTTTCCAGTCGTTTGATTTCTAAGTAATATATCTGCTTATGATTTACTATTACGTTAACATCACTTAATATATTTGTGGTCACTGATAAATATTTCACCTGTATATCTACATATCTTATAATATTGTGAATCAGTGGATTAGCTCCATTACTATTTAATAACGTCTGCGATAGTGTAATGGGTAAGTCGTGGTGCTGTAATTTGAGATGAATCTCGAAAGTTACTGTATTTTATTAATGCATTTTCATATATCATAAGTTTCTATTGAACAAAATTGTTTGTTCATCTCAACGAGATTTGTCATGCACCGAAGAAGGATTATGTGATTATGTCTCGTCTACTTTACTTAAGGTGAGATATTTTCCAATAACAAATGTTTAACGAAGAATTGCTCGTCACTTCCTATGCACCAAGGATTATCTTCGCCTTTTAGCATATATGAATATGTAAGGTAAGTATGACCTATCCCAAGACGGGCAAGGACAACTTCGTTCCGATGGTTGTCTCTATAGCAAGGCGACCATGCACCGATGATCACAATGATTATTGAAAAATAAAATCAATTCTAATGTCGTACTTGAACGGTCATGCAAAGTTTAGTAAAATATACTTACATGTTTTATGTATGTTGTCAATTATGTTCGACAATATAAATTATCATGTAAACCTATACGTTTGCTGTTTTACTGTATATATCTGATTGATTTAAGGTAGTGTCCTTTCTGTCTTTTTTCTTTTTCTATAGCTGGGATGTCCTTGTTAATTTAATATGTTGGTGATGATTTAAACCTTACATAGTGTTGTAAGAATAGGGAATTTGAGATCTGTAGAAGAGAACATTCTCCCTGGAAAACTAAATCCATGAAAATATCTCTTCATGTTTTCTTTTATGTTCTTAACCAATATCTGACAATTTACGGAAAATAACAAGGCTGTAAAACACTGATAAGGAAATAAAGCATTGTGTATTTATTAGTTGAAGCAGGAAATAGTCAAACTAAATAAAGTACTATATATAGAGTAAACAAGTTTACTTTACAAGTTGTATAATTTAGTTAATCAATAAATTCTGAAATCCTTTTTCTATTAATTTTAAAACAGTTTCTACCCTGCAATCAGTTAAGTAAAGCAGACACTATAAGTCCTACTAGTGTTACAAAATCCAAAACACTAACAAATCACTTCAAAATCTGACAAATATAAGTTACTTGTATTCAACAATATGTATATATAGATAATTAAAGAAAATTGTTTAAAAAAACACACAAGAAAAAATTGATAGCATTTTGCATAACGTGTTCACAGCTTAGCTGATCCTCAGTGCAATGTAACTATGCAAAGAATCTATTTTCTTTATAATATCACTTGCGTATCGTCATTAACTATATATATATATATAAGTCGAGGAAAGCTTTCACGCAACTAAATCACACAAAGAGCAACATCGATTTTATTTCATCTACTAAAAGTTCTTACCTAAAGTGAGATTTAGTAAAATATTATATTCCCTGTGATTTTAAATGTTCAATTCATAATATAGGAAAGAAATCTGCATTTCTATGCTTTCATGAAAATGTATGTGGGGCGGATTTTGACAGGTGCTGAATGTCTTGTTTTTCCCCAAGTAGGTATTTAGTTTCACTTGTTAACTTCTGAAGGCAATGACAATCCGACATGCCACTTAACATACTCAATAATGCCACTTGTAGCCTTTGACAGGTTTCTCTATTTGAATCTAGACAATTGTCACTTATGTTGAAATTTAAGAATTAATGCTATTAGCTTAAATGATAATAGCAGATAGTGATTCAGTTGCGTGAGTCTTTATATATCATCTACAACGTGTTAGTTACGCTTCTTATTGTACATTCGTTTTTATCACGAAATCAATCAGATCAATAATATAAAATCTCATAAAGAGATGCTTATGAAAATGTTTCCTTCATCTCATTACTGGATAATGGTTATGCACGACAAATATAATAATGAAAATATTTTCAAAACCAAAAAAGCAAAATACAGATATTGCAGCTAAACTTAAACTTTCATTTGATGATACCAGGGCAAGAAATAAACAAAAAACAAAAGCAGATAAATAACATGAAGGCAAAACCTTGAAAAAGACAGAAGAAGATGAGGTGTTCCGGACGAGTAAGCGTCTTCCGCTACATGGACGATGGTATAATTGTGATTGTAAAACATCCCTCAAAATGTAACAAGTTTACATGTTTTGGTGTCTTTTAATACACATCTTATAATCATTGAAAGTTTCGTACCTGATTACAAGAAACAATGTTTATTCCCACGAATTGTGGCCCAAGTAGAATGTCAACTGAAATGTTACAATAAAAAGATAAATTCAAACTAAAACATTCAACACGAATAAGTTATGTATTGATCTTAAATAGATACAAGAACATTGGGTAAATAACATTTTATGACTACATAATGTTTACATGTAATATCTGAGAAAAAATGACCATAAATACCACCGATTATAATATGTACTATATGTAAGTAAAGTGCAGCTTCTAGTGCATATTATACTTTGCAACATCAGCTGAAAATAAGATACATCACATTAAAATTAAAGATCAAATGACATATTGCCAAGGGACTATGATTTACAACAACAAAACGTAATAACTATATACAACAATTGTTAGTTTAAAGCAATGAAAGCAATCGTCTACAGACATCAGTCTACCAGTACAAAGATGTTTAAAAAGAAAATTTTAAAAATGCAAATCTAAATAAAATACGTGGTTAAAACTGTTATGAGACTGACTGTAAATGGTTACACACAATCACGTGTACTAAACATGCATTTAGTAATTAGATCTAAATTTTGGAAAGAGATTTCGCTTAACATTTAGATATTCATATATCAATGAGTTCATGATGATTGCAAAAATGCAAAAATGATATAGCATTGCTGTAAAATACAATACAATGAGACGACCTGTATAGCTCTCCAATTGGTAACCTTGTAACCACTGTCGTTTCTCGTTTCTGAATGTTGAGATAATGTACATGAATGAAAAGCAAAAAGTAAATCGAAACAAGACCTATACTCTATACAAGACAGTTTGATACTATCATCATCGTATCCATTTTATTTCTTATTCTTGTATTGACGACCAACTTGGCGCAGGATTTGTTCTGAAGTCATCGTATCAATGTTATGTCTTTTTCTTGTGTTGACTACCAACTTACCGCAATATTTGTTCTTCTGAAGTAAACAAGCCAATACTTGCGTAAATTATAATCAAAAACCCATCCGAAGCTACCAAATATCAAAAGTTTACATTTTTTTAGTGAATACACCTCTATGGAATCACGCCTCATATTTTAAATGTCAAAACGCCGATATATTGGTATATTAACTTTCAAAAACATGAATATTGGATTAGACGATAGAACATTTCCAGAATAAGTGACGAGAAGGAATCTCATCATCGATGCTGTCCTCACAGTTTAACAAGTTTGATATTGAATACCAATCCATCTGGCAAAGTTTCATTGCTGTCAATAACTTCCCTATGGTTGCTTTCGTCTGGTTTCTGTCCACCCAGTGTTGAAGAAGAGCACTCAGTCTTGCCTGGATGGTAACAGGATGGCCAATCGCATGTTGATCAATGATTGGTGGTGGCAATCCTAATTCAATAAAAAGGTTGAAATATGTGTTGCCAATTTCGGTGACGATTGCCTTTATTTCAGCCTTAGTAGGGGGTCTGTTCCAGACATCATTTGGAACCATATCTGTGAAGAATCATTTGATATGATTTGTAAATTAGTGCATCAAATATCATCTACATGTAAATAAATGATACTGATAACTATGAGTATTTGGAAAATATGACCGGAAAACACCTACCAGAAGATCTAAATAGGAATTATTAAATGTTGACACGTTTCGGTATACTAGGTATAACATCATCAGACCCGATATATTCTCGTATAACTATGAGTATATGTTTTATACTGTCATTATTAAATCGCGAAGTATAAATCACATGATAATTATCAAAACCATTTCAAAGTAGTATTTACGATGTCGACATACGATTACCAATGTTTACATCATAATGCTATCCCAATACATGTGATATGTATGTAATTAACTAATTGCCATTCCATTGGTATTGGTTTCGATTATTATGAAAATATTATCTTCTAACCTTGAATATCGGTTTCCTCGTTAATCACTAACACTTCGTTGATACGGCCAGTATCCATGCCAGTATCCTCCATTGCCTTCTTGATATGCTGAATTGTCTGGTTCGGGTAGTCATTTGTCCATTTTAGAAACATCTTGGTATCTGTGTGATGACCGCCTCGTTTTGTGATTCCCATTTCGTATTCTGGATATCGGGGTAAGGGAGACCAAGAGTAACAAACAAGCGCTCACAATCAATACCGCAAACTAGACGTGACAGGCGACCAAGTTCACGTGGTGTTGGTCTTCTGTTATAGATGTTGTCAATTTCAGTCGTACCTTAAACACCAGGAGAATGAACAATTGAATAAACGCAGTTAAGTACTACTTGTATTGGAATAAGGAAGATCCTTAGAAAGAGTATTTTCGATATCTCAAAAATAGACATTTATATACATATTTATTATTTTATATAATGTTGAATTATTCCCGAACAAAATAGCATTCCTTCAAAATAATTTAAATCATAATATTATAATTTACAAAGTCAAAAGATGAAGTCAATTAGTATGCATGCTGAAAAAGACTGCGAGTAGTTTGCATATGTATGGAAAAACGGCGATTTGCCTATACTTTCTAGGGAGAAAATATTAATGTATTTCTTTAAGACGTTTACTCACCATCTTGCTTCAGTCTACTGTCATTACTATTATCACCACAAACTGTCGCATTGTCCTGTCCTGGAGCCTTTCAAGAATACGATCAGGAATACCATTAGTGTAACATGAATAAACAGATCCAGATTCGCAAAAGTCGTCTGGTAAATCGGAATTTCAATAAAACTTTAATTGATGATGGCTTATCCCATGACTAGAGAGGCTACACAAAGCTACCGTATTTCGACGGTAAGTTTACACAATACCATTATACACTCTATTTTCACTTTAAATATCTAGGAGGGTAACTAGGAGACTAATTTATACACATACATCTAGAATGCTTAGACATGGTGAAATTGATTTCATTCTACAGCATAACGTTTAATAATATATGTTTGTCAAATAATACTCATAGAGAGAGCCAGGTAATGTCATTAACCATCAACATCAATTCACAAATAAATATTCTTTTTAGAATTTGATACGAATCAAGAATTCATATGGTTTCTCTTAAACTGGATAGATAAGAAACAAACATTTCAGGGAATATAGAGATTACCTCTGTGACGTCCCAGTATTCAGCATCCGTTCTCGAAAGTCGATGTCGACCTTGACAATCTTCACCTTTACAAAGCACGCCCCTCTCTGAGTGAATGACGCTGTGCAAGTCTACGGGCGTGTCGTACGGACTCAGGTGGAAGTTGCAATGCAGTTGATATGTGAACAGAAAGTGTTGCTGGTTACTCATTTTCAGTGCCTCACGTACAATTTGTTCTATTGTGCGCCTGATATGTCCGCCTGAATCTGGAAGAAGCCTGGATTCTGTTGGACTGAACATCGTCACAGCTATAGTTGACCGTACTGCATGCATAGACAGGATCATTCTGCAAAGTTCATTGACCTCGAAACATCCAAAACCCCTATAGAGGCAAGCGCTGTCATTTATATTCGTCTGGCTGCCGGTAGCCGTTTTCTGGAATCTCTGCCTTGAAAACGAACCCGATATGTAAGTTCTAAGGATATGTGCAAATATTCTGTCGAACAACTCATCAGGTATGTATTTATCTTCGAATACCAAGCACAAAGTGCTAGATACAGCAGCGTTTCTCTGTCGGATGCATTTCATTTCTTCAGTAATGCCTTTGATGTTCTGTTCCTGCAGCTCCCTCAACTTGCAAGGAATAGTATACGCTTGACTGAAATGAGATATGTCGGTAGCGTTGACCGACACAAGCATTTTCACTATGAGTCCAAACTTTTCCATCAAGGCCAGAAGAACTTCGGCGTGTTTAAGAAATTCTTCATTCTTTTCGCCAATGAGCAGATGAGTTATTAACTTCTGAGTCAACTCCCCTTTAGATTTGTATAACTCCATATCTCGGATCAACAACAGGTCAGCCTCTGGGAGAAACTGGTCATCAGTAATGAGGATACTACAGAAATCGGCTAGCCACTGGGGGTCTAGGAGCACATGGTCCAACTCCCGGAAATAAATCACGGACCTCGTACAGTGTAGGTATCTGCAGAATATATACATAATGAGGGTATTAAAGTGTCGCATTTAAAATGTATAATATTTAGAGGTCTCCATTTCCCATTGGTCTCATATGAGGTGAATCTACGTCCAAACTTAAGTACGGTAATTATACATGTACGTTCTTGTAGGTTTTAGTTTATAATAAACTAGACTGATACTTGGAATGAAATCCCAACTATCGGTCGAGGTATATGTATTATACTGACACGAGCTGTAACTCCTGACATGGGAAATCTGAATATATTTCTTAACTATGTTTGATTTGTTAATGTAAAGGTTGTAGATCTAAGTGACACTTAAGAAGTGACTGTTTACAGTTTGAAGCGAAAGTTTTTCCTCAATATCTAAATAAGATGGTTCCTTTATTCAATTTATGCATCAGCATCAGCATCTGAAGTATGTATATATATGCCTTTGTTATTGGAGTATGGTGATTTATCTTCAATTGAAATCATTGTTATTTCGTTGCCTTTGTTAGAGTTAGGTTTTATTCCCGTCAATAAACTAATATTCGATTAATGGATGAGTAAACCAATTTGACCACAGTATTTGTCATTGTAATGCTTTGATATTCTTCCTAACAAATATGTACTAACACTTTATGGGTCTCTTAATTTCAATATATTCACATCCAGTGTCTTACTTATAACATGATTTAAAATAATAAGTGAAAGCTGAGTGATGAATGATTTAGTCTAAACAACATGAAATTTAACTCCCAGAAATATAAATCTGAGGGAAAAAACGAATACTACTGGTTGTTTACTACACACAGCGAGTGAAAAATGTATATGTAATAAAAACAACCATTTCAAATACTGGTCATGTTTCTGAAAATGCTCATTATCAAAAGGATACAGATAGCTTATGTACCCCATTTTATCAGAATGAAATATTATAGCTAAATATAATACTTCTTTAGATTATTACTTACAGTTACAGTGAACATTTATCATTATTTAAGAACAACGTGTAAGTAGTCCACATCTGACTGAATAGAGATTTACAGTCAACTTCCAATGTGACGAAAAAACTCATTTCCATAAGAATGTACATGATTGATTAACATCATTAACTATTCTGATAATTTTGAGTATAAAAGAAATGACTGACATGTAGTACAGGTGGCCTTGAAATTTATCTATGACATATCCGTTTTCGTCACCAACCAAATGTGGTGTCCATTGCTACAGACAGTGTAGACCCTATGAACTGCTACTATAGCTAATATATAAATATATAAGTGGAATCAGTTAATAGTCAGCTATAAATAGAACAGAACTACAATATGTTTAGAAACCAACGATATTTGTTAAAGACATACTCACGCCAGCGCAAGTTTGATTTCATCTTCATCTGACAACGGCGCAAAAGAAGTTTTGTTCATTTCAATCACCTCCGACAATTTCAATATTTTCTGTCCGTTCTCTCTTGCTTCAAGTAAATCCTTCTCGAGCTTTAACCATCTAGTAGGTAGTTCTCTGCCCCACTGATCTTGGTGCTCAGCCGCTTCTGTGATGAAACCTCGCAATACTTCCAGCTCTTCATGATCATCGCCAAGGCTATTATCGACAGTGCAGAATTTGACGAAGTTGAACGCTGACAGTTCGGGAAATCTTGAGACGCTGAACCTTATGTCTTGTACTTGTTTTCCGTAGTTCTGCAGTAATAATAAATATGTGTTAATATTAGTAAGTTGATATTATTTTTATCTAAAAAAATATTGAGAAGTTAATCAACAAAAATAACCAGTTTGGGTGGTGTGTTTGTTGACGATACAAATTATAGATAAACTATACTATATCTGAAAAATACATGCATTTAGTACGTTGCATTTTCTGTCTTGAAATTTTATAATATATTACATGATGAATACTTATGATGGATGTAAGTACTTTATGTAATCATCACGTTGGATGTATTTTGATTTCATTTGAAAATAGTATCACTTACCCTGTTGTTTTTCTTCAATTCATCCAAAAATGTGCCAACAAATATTATTGGCGGCGAATGTATGCTGAGCTTTTCAGGATTCAACGTAACTGAGGAATATGTACCAATCAGTCGAACCCAGTTTTTAAGCCGATCTGTATATAAAAATATGTTAAACCTTCAAACAATATAATCTTGAATTTTATTTCCGATCACGATATATAAAAAAATTAAAACGTAAGAAATAAGTATGATTAATTACAGATACAAATTTGTTAAAACCACCTGATTTGTATGGTAAACCCTAAGCCATCAAAATAATCACAACAAATATCTCGTCTTGTTCGACCTAGCCGTCAATAAAAATTACATTCCAACTAATCCACAAAAATGTCAAATTGTGAAAATGTTGCTTATATTATTATTATCATTATTATTATTCCCGAATACCACTAGTGGTAAAGGTGTTACGTCATCATGATATTATGCTTGTCAATTATCTATTAATGATCACTGGAATCATGATTAGTCAAACACAATATCAGTTGATAGTTAATCAAGATTGCAAATTTTACGATTGCCTCTAAGATACCTTTGATAAATCTGATATAACATGTATGGATAAGAACCAGATTTATTGGCTTATATCGTTATATTCAGGAAAAACGTACATTATTTGTTGTTTTTTTATCTTTTGTTCTCGTTTATATATTTTATATTGCTGTTACTATTGTCGATCCTTCGGAATTACTTTTTTGACATAAACACGCAGATAAACATAATGACCGTGACCTTTGCATTTCAATGGCTTTATCATACTATATGTACTTATACCCGTTTTATTGCTCACACCAAATCAGTAATAATTAATTACGTTTAGGTATGCATAACAATTCCTGGTTCTTCGAAAACAGGGACTAACGCTTAGAATGATATTCTCTCCCGTTACATATTTTTTTTCCTCTTGCGTCTCTACTGCTCTATTTGCCCATTAACAACTTGAGAGACAATTCCTACTTATATTGCTTGGGTTTCAATTAGCAGTACTCCACGAACGGTGCTTTTATTCTTATAACTCAAAAACCATATACTTGTTTCGAAGTCATCTTTGGTTACCGTTGCCCATAACGATGCAACTTATTATTTTTTCCTTTTTGTTTTGTTTTTTTTTGGTACCATACAATCTTTTTTGTTTTCATATCCATTTCTAATGTCAAGATAAAAGGGACACGTTCTATATAAGTAAAATATAAAGAAGGGTGTGGCTAACAGAGCTCCTTGTGAGATATACTTTAAGCTTCACAATTTGCAAGTTTCGCAAATCATTAGCCTGCGGGTTATATATATGAAAAATACTTACGATTATTTAAAGTGCATACTTTAAAATGTGTAACACACACATTTCAAAAATGCTCGTTTCTACAGACAGGTGAACATTTTGCTTAGAGATATAGAAATTAGGAAAATGTAATGGTATTTTATTCTAATTACATAGTAAGAACATATTTAATAAGCTCAAGCAATAAGAAAGTGTTTCTATGTTTATCATGAATATAACATACAGAGAAGGTCAATTCACCTACCAGTTTCCAGCTTGTCTCTAATGAAATCTGTTAGTCTGAAGACTAAAAGGTATACTCCGTGTGATGAAATGAAGATGTTGTGTGAAGCTTGAAACGGCGCATGGCCACCCATATCCCATAAAGAAAGGAACACCACATCAGACGGGGTATCAGATGAAGCCACGTGGACTATTTGTGCCTCATCTGCAATTTCTATTTCTCTTTGGTGCGATACCTGTTTTGTTTTGATGTCTTGAGAAGCCATATCGAGTGTTCCTGCCTCATCATCACTTCGTTTTCGTTTTCCGTGTGTCGAACTATGAGGCGACATCTCTGTTTCTGTGTCTTGAAGTGATGACAAAATATGACATTTCATTTCTCGTATTTCTTCATAGCTATGGAACATGTAATAGTAAACTGGGGAATATAATTATGTTTAACAAACCATACCTCTAATTTGTTACTATCTCATTGTCATGAATACAAAATGATTGGATAACAGGCATTACCTGTACAAGGTATCTCCTAAATTCGCTCATATTATTGTTAAAGATCAACGTACCAATGATGGTACAAAAGACAAACAAGCAAATAACATCTTAACTTTTGAGTTAGACACAGTTAAGCCAAACAATGAAGTAAAATACATCATAAGGATGTGTCGTCCTTATAGGACTCGGGCGTAAGAGGCAATTGAAAAAAAAATCAAAAGTGATCCGAAACAATAATGTAATTACGACAATTTTAACTATCAAAAAATCTACTGTATGAAAATCAGGAGTGATACAAAACGAAGAAACTTTTACAGACATCGTATTGTCCCCAAAGAAATTTTGTACAGTAAAAAATTTTGAACAAATCATTATCTGTATCATGCTTAATGTTGAATATCAACTTATATATTGTTTTTCGCAAAATGGTGAAATCCGGAGATTCAAATCGTTTCTCCACAGAGACATACAGTACATCACATTAATTTCGTCATATCATTTAATGTATAAATTTATCTCAAAGTCCTAGCCAACTACCTGTCTGTATATTAGCTAATGTTGCTGTTTTGGTCATCATCGCTCCCATTCGTGCGTCTATCACTGTACTAGGAGATCGATTGTTACACTGCCAGGTTTTCAATTTCCAGTCAATGGAGAACCATACCGGATGTAAATCAGCACCAATGGTTGGTCTGCGCAACTTCAGATTTACTTTTTTTTTCTGGAGACGGCGGCATACGGTAGTTTTTCCGGCAGCATCCCTGCCAGAAAATACTACGCGTACATGTCGATAACTTTCAGTTTCTCCTTTAAACAGTGCTAAATATCTGCTGTAGTTAAGCTCTCCTGAAAATATAGGATTATACCAACACACAATAACACTAACAATGGAAATGGTCACCAAACGACAGATAAGTGAAACAAATCCCCGGGCTTCTTGTAATATATATGACATTTACATGTACGTGATTACACTTTGTTAGAAAAGTAAACGGTTAAACAATAGATTTTTAAAAACGGAGCTAATGTTAAGAGAGAAATTGCTCGGGCATAAAATTAACAGCATGCATCTGTGTAATTTATATTGTTGTTGTATAAGCAGTGAATGTATATCCAAACCAGACTTGATGAAAATGTGCTGATAAATGATGAAGGTAATTTCACATCAATGTTTTCAATCCATTCTAAGTAGGATATAAAGGGAATATTTTTTCTATATCAGTAGGATTCTCAAACAATGCTTTTATACAGATGCATATATTGAAACCTATAATGTAAAGGAACATTTTTCAATAGGAAAACTATCATTTTATGATTGTTGAATATTGAGAAGCAAACACTGCAAAAAATTTGCATTAGAAAACAAATAAAGACTAAATGGTGTTTAAATAATCTGTATCGCTAGCTTTCCGACTATATAGAGAATTCGAGTATGACAGTATATTTATTCTAATGCTAGCAGTGTTTCACTAAGACACAAAATATATGTAACTTTGGTATGAAGTTGTCGATAATTCATGCTCGTTAGCGATTTTGCTCTCTGCTATCGATGTTTCAAATGGAATTCTGTTTACGTGTCGTTATAGTGAAGAACGCTTTATCAGCGAGCCTAAAAATAACCGTTCTGAGGAAATAAATAAAACCCTTATACTGGATGTCAGCGAATGAAAATCTAATTCAAAATTTAAATATTTTTATCTTGTCGTTTCCTTTCGTGTACTTTACTAATTTTGGTTATTAAGTATGATTCTACATTTTCCTTTCTGGGCTTAAATATGTCGCCTTACCATGAGCTACAATGATTGGTTTGAGTTGACGTACTTGCACATATATTTTATCTTAAGTTGCATACAATTCAAGTCTTTATTTCTAGCTAGATAATTGTCAGTGACATTTCAATTTTAGCGTTTTAAACAACACACTAATTTGCTATGTGTATGAACCGCTCTATTAAGATATAAGATAATTCAAATTAACTACACTAGGATCCATCTTCGACTTTGACTATATAATCACTCCAATACATTACAAAATAATTGATTGTTTACATATCCTCTCATTGATAACATAAAATACAAAAGCAGGAAGCCTCAAATTATAAAAATCATGTATGCATGCAACAAAATCTACAGAAATATAGAACCTATCCTGCTTGAATATCAATAATTTACGAAATATTAATTGATCGCTTATTTCAGTAGATATATTATAGACGTTATTGTATCATTGACATTACTGTTACCATGTCAAGTTAATATCAAATTGCAATAAACAAGGAACGAGGGAAAGTCATATATTAATAATGTTATATATAATTTTTTGATAATAAAAAAATAATTCATGTCAAATTGAAATTATTGAAATCAAATTAGTTTGCATGCTTTCAGTGTAAGTCTTAATAGGCAATATTAACATTTCAACAAATCTCAGTTTTCAATACAATCACGTCATCATCAATTCCAAAATAATATCAGCATATAAATGATTCAATGATATTCATATACATGCCGAGCACCTATTAACTGAGCAAATTATGCAAACTTTCAATAACACATATAACTCATACATTAATTAATCAAATTATCTTGAACGTGTTACAGTTATGTCATAGTCATCAATTAGAGAAAGAAGGAAAGGTGAGTTAATTCTTAAAAACAATGATAACAAAATAAATACTTACGTTCTGTTGGTGGGATTAATCATTGCGGTAAAGAAATCAACATATTTATACGTATTAATCATATGTAAGAGTAAATTATTACACATCACAATCAACTATTGAACAATATACATTAGGAAAGTTCATCATGTCAATTAATTTAAGATAAAAATGTTCATTAACTTCTATTTCAACATTATAACCAGTTTCACCGTTTCATCATAATAAACAAACAAATAACCTACGAGTAGCCGGTACAATTACTAACACATGTAGCTGAAGCATTGATCGGGAAAAAACAACTAAAGAATAGACAATGATGTACTTTTTCAATTGATACTGTTACTATAGAATGTACATGGTATATCAGTCAATCGGAAACATATATTGTGAAAACCTTTGACTATGTAGTCGCTCCCATACATTAAGAATGAATTGCTAGTTTACATATCATTTCTCTGATAACATATAAAACAAAAGCATGAAGCCTCAAGTTATGAAAATCATCTATGCATACAACAAAACATACAACAGAAATGTAGAACTTATGCTGTCTAAAAATCAATATTTTACGGAAGATGAATTGATCACCTATTTCAAAATATGCAAAATTAGCATTTCAAAAATTCTCAATTTTCAGTACAATCACGTCTTCATCCATTCCAAAACAATATCAGCATATAAATGAATCCATGATATTCATATACATGCCGAGCACCTATTATCTGAGCAAATTATGCAAATTTTCAATAACACATATAATTCATTCACTGATTAATCAAATTATCTTGAATGTGTTACTGTTATGTCATAGTCATCAAATTGAGAAAGAAGGAAAGGAGAGTAAATTCTTAAAAACAATGATAACAAAATGACTACTTACGTTCTGTTGGTAAGATCATTCATTGCGGGAAAGAAATCAACATATTTATACGTATTAATCATATGTAGGAGTAAATTATTACACATCACAATCAACTATTGAACAATAAACACGGATTCGTTAGGAAAGTTCATCATGTCAATTAATTTAAGATAAAAATGTTCATTAACTTCTATTTCAACATCATGACCATTTTCACCGTTTTATTATCAAAAACAAACAAGTACCCTACGAGTAGCCGGTACAATTACTAACACATGTAGCTGAAGCATTGATCAGAAGTTTTTTTGTCAATAGCATTACTGTTACCATGTCATGTTTCAAGTTAATATAAAATGCAATAACCAAGGTATGTGAAAACGTTATAGATTAATACTATTATATATAGTTTAATAATACAAATTTAATTAATATCAAATTGAAATTATTGAAATGAAATTTGTTTGATTTAAGTCTAAGTCTGAATATGCAAAATAAGCATTTCAAAAAATCTCAATTTGCAATAAAATCACGTCATCATCAAATCCAAATAACATCAGTATAATTAATGTTTTATTGAAATTCAAATAAATGTCGAGTACCAATTAACTGAGCAAATTATGCAAATTTTCAATAACACATATAATTCATTCACTGATTAATCAAATTATCTTGAATGTGTTACTGTTATGTCATAGTCATCAAATTGAGAAAGAAGGAAAGGAGAGTAAATTCTTAAAAACAATGATAACAAAATGACTACTTACGTTCTGTTGGTAAGATCATTCATTGCGGGAAAGAAATCAACATATTTATACGTATTAATCATATGTAGGAGTAAATTATTACACATCACAATCAACTATTGAACAATAAACACGGATTCGTTAGGAAAGTTCATCATGTCAATTAATTTAAGATAAAAATGTTCATTAACTTCTATTTCAACATCATGACCATTTTCACCGTTTTATTATCAAAAACAAACAAGTACCCTACGAGTAGCCGGTACAATTACTAACACATGTAGCTGAAGCATTGATCAGAAGTTTTTTTGTCAATAGCATTACTGTTATCATGTCATGTTTCAAGTTAATATAAAATGCAATAACCAAGGTATGTGAAAACGTTATAGATTAATACTATTATATATAGTTTAATAATACAAATTTAATTAATATCAAATTGAAATTATTGAAATGAAATTTGTTTGATTTAAGTCTAAGTCTGAATATGCAAAATTAGCATTTCAAAAATCTCAATTTGCAATAAAATCACGTCATCATCAATTCCAAAATAATATCAGCATATAATTGATTCAATGATATTCATATACATGCCGAGCACCTATTATCTGAGAAAATTATGCAAACGTCCAATAACACATATTATTCATACACTGAGTAATCAAATTATCTTGAATGTGTTACTGCATCATAGTCATCAAATAGAAAAAGGAGGAAAGGTGAGTAAATTGTTTAAAACAATGATAACAAAATGACTACTTAGGTTGGTAGGATCATTCATTTTCAACATATTTATACGTATTAATCATATGTAGGAGTAAATTATTACACTTCACAATCAACTATTGAACAATAAACACGGATTCGTTAGAAAGTTCATCAACCCAATCACAATTATGGTTATTAAATAATATACATGGTATAGCAGACAATACATTGAATTGTTAAATAATGAAAAACACAGTTTGTTCACTAATGATTATCTACAGAAGATGTCGGATTTACAAGAATTTGCTTTATTTCTCCGATTAGAAACCAGAAAAGAACGTAAATTTTATTTAGTTTCAAATAAGCCATCATTGTCTCAGGAGAACCAGCTCAACACTAGATATATCAAACTTGGACATATTTTACATCGCGTTCTACCCGTAAAGGATGCTAAGATAACCAATTAACTGGAAAAGTTAGACAAATCGGACAAATGACAAGTCTCAATGTGAAGAAGTCACCTCAGAAACGTTCTCTTGTAACCTTATTATCAGAGTATTGTAACCTTATTATCAGAGTATTGTAACCTTATTATCAGAGTATTGTAACCTAACAGTCTAAAAGTATTTGTTCACTGCTAGAAACATCCACAAATTACTTACTTTTTTCTCTGTTTGATCCAGAGGCCATATCAAGTGATGGTTTAGCTGGCTTTCTATATAGATTAGTTAATAGCGTTGCTGTAATGAGAATTTCGACACGTTGATATAATGGTATTAAATACAATTGGGGAAGTCATATTCCTTCTGGGTAATTGGATTTAACATTCACTAATTTATAAGTTATATATCAATATATATGATTTTTGATG